AAAACTGGTTTTGAGGGGTGCCTTTCGTATTTATTTTCATGGCATATCTTATATTGCTTAGCGATTTTCCTAATCTTTGCATTCATTTGAGGGAAGTAAAATTTTTCTATAATTTAGGCTTTATTCTCGGTTGAATTCCTGTGCGCTCTTTTATGCTCTTTAATTATTTCGGATTCCTGATCGGATTCTTGTACTAGGTCTTTTACTATTTTCCGCGTGTATCGTATTTTATACCTGCTAAAATGTATTGGATATATAGTTTGAATTTTACCCAGGATGTAGTCTTCTGTAAAGATTGCATCGCTTGAGATGGTTTATTAATATCTCTTCTGTATACTCGGTTTCTTCAATAATATGCCTGTGATAAGTAGGGAAGGGTATTTTAAATTGGTAAAATGAAGTGTCTGCGGTCCTGAAGAATAACTGGTTCTTGAATGCATTAACCGGGGCATCCGTGTAAGGAATTAGGTTTTGAGATGAACTTTCATCACTATTAATTTGCTCCTCCTGCGGTGGTCGGGATAGTCCGTCTGCTACCACGTTCGTTCTGCCAAGTTTGTATTTTAGCTCATAGTTATACTCTTCGAGGATCGCTTTCCAGCGCTTCATTTTACTGTTGTTATTTTTGTTACTGAGCGCATACGTTAAGGGCTGATAGTCTGTATAAATTTTAACTTTTGCCGAACCGTAGAGGTAATTTTGCAGAGACTTCAATGCCCATATGATGGCGAGCATTTCTTTCTCGTTAGCTGCGTAATTTTCTTCTGTTTTCGAAAGAGTCCTAGAAATGAAAGTGGTTGGTCGGTCTTGCCTATTGCGTAATTAGAAGCATCAGTTGTGAGCTCAAAATCTTTATTCAAATTGGGGTAGATCAGCATAACATCTCTTGAAATTAAAACGTTTTTAAATTTTTGCAACGCTGCGATTGCTTCTTCGTCAAGTGTTATCTGTTTTTGTGCTGATTGGGTTTTGGACACACGTCCTTCCTCCCCTCTTTAAAGGGCTGTCAGGGGTTTAGCGAGCTTCGCATAGTCTTTAACGAAGCGGCGGTAATAACCTGATACACCTAAAAAGGATCTGAGTTGTTTGAGATTCCGTGGAATTGGAAAATTTTGGATGGTGTCGATTTTTGAAGGATTTGTTTTGATTACTTCCGCTGTTACTATGAATCCTATAAATTTTACTTCTTTTTGGAAGAACTTGCATCTATCTAGCTGTACTTTCATATTTGCCTTTTCGAGTGTACAGAAAATATTTTTTAGATGGGTTGAATGGTCCTCTTCGGTTTTGCTGAATATAGTTATGTCGTCGATGTAAACGTAACAACACTGGCCTATGTAATCTCGTAAAATGCCGTCTAATGTCTTTTGGAAAATTGAGGGGGCGTTCTTTAAGCCGAATGGTAATCTAGTAAATTCATATTTTCCATTATTTATGGAGAAAGCGGTCTTTTCTATGTCCGAGCTTTCCCTAAGTGGGAAAGAACTTCGTTAATTTCGGGAATGGGGTAGCGGTCTGCGATTGTGACAGAGTTCAACTTCCGATAATCTATAACAAGTGTATACTGTTTATTGCCTAGAGAATCTGGTTTCTTGTCTGCTATCCAAACAGGTGAATTATAGGGTGAGCGGGATGGTCTTATGATGCCATCTTCTAGAAGTTTGTTAATTTGTCTTTCGACCTCCGATTTTAATGACATCGGATATGGATAGCATCGAGAGTAGATTGGGTTATCGGTTGTTGTCCTAATCTCTGCTTTTACTGCAGTTGTATAGGTCAGCTTTTCGTCGGGTTCCGCAAAAAGTTTGCAGTGCTGTTTACAGAGGTCATGGAGCATTCCTTTCTGCATCTCTGACATGTGCTCTGTTTTGATTTCTAAACTATTGACAGATTTGGATACTTGCTGTTTGATTTTGACTTTTTTGCCATTTTTGGTCGTCATATAATCCTTTGAAGTGTGTACTACTGCGTTTAACTGTTTGAGGCTGTCGTTGCCGAGGATACCATGGAATGATGTCAGTGAGGGTAAAATGAAAAATTTAAGGTTTTCGTCGTTTAAGCCGAAAAGATTTAAAAAAATGTGATGAGATATTTTAATTTTTCCTCCGACTGAGTTTGCGTAGAAAATATTTTGGTCGACTTCCATAGGTGTGGGTGGTTTTGGCTGTGTTGGCCTTGGCGGTGGAGTGTTATAAATGGGCCTATTAGTTTGAATATTTGACCTGTTGAAGTACTGAGGCTGTTGGTACTGGAGTTGTTGGTATTGAAATTGTGGATATTGGGATTGTTGGGGTTGTTGGGGTTGTTGGAGAAATCGATTGATAGGAGGAAGCGGTTGGGGTATATGTGCAATCTGTGGATAGAAGGGTTGATTAGTGTATGAAAGGTTTCTTAAAGGAAGTGCAGGTTTTTGCTGCAAATGCATTCCAAATGGTGCGGGGGGTAGGTTGGGTTTTCTAGATAAACTACATTGATTGCTTGCGTGCACTGCCCTGAAGTTTTGGTTCTCCAGTTTAATGCATAAATGCAAGGCTTCAGGTAGGTCGGCAGGTTCCTTCATACCGAGGAGCCGAGATAAATCGTCTGATAATCCCCTAACGAAAATATCGAGTGCTTTGTCGCAATATGTATGGGTAAGGATTCGCATGGCCTCTTCGCTTATGCCCATGCATGAAATTTTATTTAATATGAGGGAAAGGTGCGAATAAACTTCCGCATAGAACACCTCCACAGTTTTTCGAGCTTGAATCAAACAAGTCATTTGACACTCAAGGGTGCTCAAGTCCCTCTTATCGGCGTAGTGCATGGTAGACATTTGGAGATCACCTTCCAATTCAAGGGCGTATTGTAGTACTCTAGAGCAGCGTCTGCACTACCTACAATTTTATTGCGGATGACATTTAGAATGCCGAAATATTTAGGTGAACCTGCACTAGGTTCATAGATTTTCAGAATGCGTTCGACACTTTTTTTCCAGCTGCTGTATTCCGCTGGGTTGCCACTAAATTCGCGCAAGGATCTAACTACATCCGGTACCTTGTCCATGTCTGTCAAGTTGTTCCTATAGTGGTCATCAATGGTTTGGTCTGTTATAACTTGCGGCGGAGGGTGTAGTATACCTCTTAGCAAACTTGCTTTCATCAGTGGTCAGTATTTCCGTCATTAAATCTTTAATGATACCCCTAAATTTAGGAGTGGCGTTTACCGCATTGGAAGTAGAAGCAGTAGGAGGTGGTGGAGCTGCTGCTCCTTGTGCACCAGCATTTGCTAGCAGCGAAGGTCGGATTATATTGTTTTGTGGCATTTTTGGGCCTTTAGATTTTTAGTATTTATATGTCTATATATGTTTTTCTTATTTAATTTGTTTTAATTTAATATACTCTGGAGGGTCCCCCTTTGTGGAGTGAATCGCAGAGATATAATTTATTATAAAGCTAAAAGCTTTCGGTAATATTTAGTTTAAGGATGTACAAGCCTTCTTGTTATATTTAATGTGATGATTTATGTGGAACCGACAGAGTTTGGCTCTATTTTAAGTTAATAAAAATAAATGAAGAATTTTTTAGTATATCTACTATATTAGCCTATTTAACTAACTTCACTTTTACTGTAAGTTCCTTTAATATACGGGTGATTTCTTTTTTTAAAAAATTACTTGTAATAATTCACCTTAATTAAATTCTAATTTTATCCTAATTATATTCATTTAGAAAATTCAAACTTTTTATATAACTTCACTTTCGAAAATTCACTTTATTTAAATTCTAATTTTATTCTTATTAAGTATTTACTTAGAAAATTCAACCTTTTAATTTTTAATTTCACTTTCAATGATTCACTTAATTAAATCCTAATTTATATTCTTAAACCTATATTTAAATATCTTACGGCACTAGTCCCACGGCGTACGGGGTTTGTCCTTTTTGCATCGCTACTTGGATCCACCGTTGGGCACTCTGCGTGGGTGCGTGGCTGTCTTCTACCGAAGCTCTCCACTGAGTCCTTCCAGTCGTAGTCCTGACACTTCTTGAGGGCCGGATCCTCCAACGTTTGCGCTGTTATTTAATCACTACGTTTACCGTATCCTTAAGGGCCTTAACTTTTTCGAGGACGAACGCGACTGGGCCGTTGGGCGCCAGTTAAACTAACCGAAGTTAAGTTAATTAAAAAAAATTATTTTTTGCGGCAGCAAGCCGTGTTGTTTAATCAAACTCAAATTAGGACTGATTACAATTTTTGTTTTCACTTAAGTCTATACCTCAGATGCGATGCCTTGGCCTTGGTTGAGGGTGTCGGGTGTCCAGACTTGTAGTCAGCAATTTCGCGGATGCGCGTGCAAGAATTGGAATGCAGTTGCACTGCATTAGCGTGAGAAAGAGTTTTTGGAGTTTTGAATGTTAGCTACGTTAACTTATACAAGATTGGAATTACTTGAATACACTTTTTTACTGTGACACTTTTTTTGCGACTTTTGAAAAATGTTCAACGGTAACACTGCCCTCTGAACATAAATTGTATTTACTTTTTATTCCGCAGCTGGTTTCTTTTGAACATTGACCATTTTAAAACATGCTGATACGCTGGAACGCTTTTTTTTTGGAATACCGGGGCGTAACTTTGTCTTATACTGGAGCAATTTACGTTGATCTAGGGAACCGTAAAGTTTCCTTGCGCGGTCATTGCCGCTGTGGTGCCGTAGATAAAACCTGCATTCTTTGTTTTATTTAAAGTGTATGGTAAGCTTAACAATTTATTTTAAATATTCTGTCTTATTACCAAATATAGCCCTAAAACTAAATTTAGCTAGTGTCCGCACATTCGTATTAGATAATATAATTTCAAAACGAGTCGTTCTAACAAATTTGATGCCTTACCTTTAATAACAACTGTTAGTTGTCTAAATAATAATATAAAATTGTCGCGTATAACTTGAAATCTTTTATTGTCTGTACGTGATAACTCTAGATCTGCATTTTATGAGTATGAAGTAAACACAAAACTACTCTGCTTTTTATCTTGCTTTCACCTTTTCTAAGGACATCGACTGTTATGTTTTTTGCAGCGGCAAGTTTCATCAATGAGTTTCTTAGTTGAAAACCTAATCAATATTCGTACCGAGATTAGTGGTGTTGGTAAAGCGGCTACTGTGCTACAGCATTTCATCATAACAGGACGATACCACTCAATTTTTCTCCTCATATCCACAAGCATTGGCTGCAGTGCCGAATTAATGACGGCTCGGTTCAGATGGGGTTTTCCGTGTTTAATTTATGCAGTTCTACTCCGCCTCGACCGACCCTTGCATCACTTCTACCCTTAGTTTTAGGCAAGGATTTCGTGGCGGCACAGGTCTGTCGGAAAGCGTATTTTTCCGTCGCTGTCCTCGAATGTCCGCCGCAAGATCAGAATTGTGCAATGCCACACCAGTACCCGCCCACTCGAAGAAGGCACTAATTCGGGTGCCGCCGGAGTTGTCCTTCTCTTGCAGCGTAGGCCAACAGATTGGGATATTGATGCATCCGCCAAGGTCCCATTATCTTCGGGAGTAACTTCATAACGTAGACCTATACCGCTTACTAGATGCAGTGACATAAGGAGTTCAGAGGGTAATATTCCCTGTCATCCTCCTACTTCCCTGTGACGCACAAAATCGATTTTAGTCGCCTTTTACGAGTATACGCAGACAAAGCTTCCTCAATATAAAGCTTTCTCAGTTGTATAAGCATTTTTTAGCATCTGGAAAACGGATTTTAAGTTTCAGAAGTCATTCAAATTTTACGCTGTGTGAGTTCTTAGATCGCATAATGTTAGGGAACCTACGAAAATTCGATTTTCCAATGACTATGCAGAATATAAAATTGGCACCAAAACTAAATAATTTGCTTAGTTTAGTTTCGTCCATGTATTTACATACATATAAGAATGTATAGTAAGAAGTATGTATGAATGTAGGAGAGTGTCTTTTTTTTGTAGTCTTTCGCTTTTCGTTGTTGCTGCACATCATGGCGTTGCTGCTCCTGGGATGGCGATGCGCATGCGCACCACATAACTATATCGGCTACGAAAACAGCTTAGCTTGAAGTAGAGTCATTGAGGTTCTTTTTGCCATTCCTTTGGTTTCTGTTTTGGTTGCTTTGCCCTCTGGCAGGCGGTTGGCTCTTGACTTAAAAATCGACGAAAATAACCAATTTGCGCACAGTAGCCGTTTCATGTTAATGCGCGCCGATATTGCAGAGAAAACGCTAACACAAAACTTCAAGCAGAACAGCACTACACAAACCCATGCACACATATTTGTATATACATACATATATATGTATGTATCCACTAGCAACAACCCAGCAAAAAATCGGTAATCGCTTTTAGTGGTAACGTGTTCCCGAACGCATTGCGTTAGAGCTGCAAAAATATCGATTGTACTATCGATAGTATCGATAGTTTTTTTTTTTTGAAAAACATCGACTGTTTTCGGGCGATAGTCGATAGTTTCGATAGGGCCGTTGCATTAAAATTCAGTGATCTTTACTTCAATAACTGACGCTGTGAATTAAACTAATGAAAATATTTAGAATTTCACGCTTAAGCAATATTTATATTTACATATGCACATATGTATATTTTATACACATTTTGTTCGCAGTAGAAGATTCCCTACATATAGAACACGATAGTATACGATACTATCGAAAATATCGATAGTATTTTTCAAACTATCGAAACTATCGAATGGCGTCACTATCGATCGTTTTGCAGCTCTACATTGCGTTATAATGTCTTCTAATTTTGTCGCTTCTTTTAGGCATTGCCGGTAATGCATAGTAGTAATCTATAAAATCTGATTTATAAAAATTTTAATTAATTTCAATCTTTTACGACAATCTGTATTTTCTGTTTTAATATATATAAGCATGTAACGGGTGATTTTTTTGAGGTTAGGATTTTCATGCATTAGTATTTGACAGATCACGTGGGATTTCAGACATGGTGTCAAAGAGAAAGATGCTCAGTATGCTTTGACATTTCATCATGAATAGACTTACTAACGAGCAACGCTTGCAAATCATTGAATTTTATTACCAAAATCAGTGTTCGGTTCGAAATGTGTTTCGCAAACCCAATTGCTGCGAACGGCGACGAATCGACATTTCACGGTCTTCAGCAACACTCTCAGAAACAGACGCAATATTCTCTTCTGTACGCACTGTACGCATTCGTGTGGTTGGTTTAATGTCCAATAAAGTAAACTGAGTGCGAAACTTGGTCACAATCGCATTAATTGTTTGCTCACTTGGTCGATTATGTAGACCATAAATCGGACGTAAAGCGAACCGAACACTGATTTTGGTAATAAAATTCAATGATTTGCAAGCGTTGCTCGTTAGTAAGTCTATTCATGATGAAATGTCAAAGCATACTGAGCATCTTTCTCTTTGACACCATGTCTGAAATCCCACGTGATCTGTCAAATACTAATGCATGAAAATCCTAACCTCAAAAAAATCACCCGTTACATATCTAGGCATTCTACATTAGTTTCTCTGTAAGACATCCATGCGTTCTCCCTTCGTTCGAAGATAATGCTGCAAGGGCTTACGGCCAAAGCTATTGGAATAAAATTGTATGCAATTTGGACCACAGCAACGCGTGCCGACTTGCAATCAAAGTTATCAGAATAAACTTAGCGCAGTTCGCGTGGTTTGTTAATTTACTAATTTTTCTTTGGCATAAGACGGTATGACTGTACTCCCTACAGTTTTTTTGGTTTTTTACCCGATTGATATTGCCACATTTATTCATCCCGAGGGGACATGTCAAACACTAAAAGACTTTATTTTGTTTATATAGTATTATGAAAGGCATTTTTTTAAGGAGAGAAAGAATTTGTTAAAAAAGTTGAAGTTGTTCTGCTGAAGTCTAGAAAAATGAAGTATGATGAGGAGATGTGGTGATCTCCGAAATAGCTGCTATAACTTCTACCGCTTAGACTTTGTTGCTTTTTCAATTTTTTCTAATAAACAATCGTGGTACAAAGTTCAATAAAAACATTTGGCCTTATTCATAAAAAATAAAGTAGCTTTATAAAAGGTTTATAAATTGAAAAATGTATGAAAACGTCAATTTATAAAGCTCTTTAAACCTACTTTATTTTTTATGAATAAGGCCAAATTGAATATAAAAATGTTGTATACATCATACGCCCTGTCAGACCAATTAAAAAATGGTCTGCAGTTGCAAATTTTCAGGACACCCTTTCAAAGCCACTGTGCTTTTTCCATTTATTAATTTTTTCGATGTCCTTGGGAGAAATCCTGCCACCCTATTGAAAATTTAAAGATGCAGATTTACGAGAAATGCATTCTAATATGGGAAAACATATCGAATTTATTGCATTTCCAAAGTTTTTATGGACGATTTGGTAGCCTTAATTCAAGTTATTAACTAAAACTTCAACTAAAAGTCGGCACGGGTTATCGTTATCCTACGGCCATAAAACTGCATATATATGCTGCTAACAGGTCTATTCTGCACGTTACCGAAGATTTTGTAACCGGAAAATTGTATTACCAAAAAATGTTACCAGTTCTTGTCACCGCGATTCTAGGTACGTTGGTAATGCAGTTAAAATATTCAGCAATTCAGCTATGAAGAATTGTGCAAATCCTGGCATTGCATATTTCACGGGGCAATAATTTGTTACCAGCTTATGAGATGGTAACAAAATTTACCGGTTACAAGAGTATACAGAATGCGAAAAGGGTTTAAAAATTGACAGGAACTTTATTTAACGGTTACAAACTTTTTATTACCAGCGCAGAATAGACCTGTAAGGATAAAAAGCACAAATATAGAGGGTATACATATCAAAATTTGCAAACAAATTTTTTCCATATATTCTCGGGACAGCCTAATGCCCACGTTATAATAATGCCTTCTTGAAGATAAAGGGTAAGCGATACAGTCCGACCGATTCCAATTTTTTTTTCAGGGACCGATGCCGATTCCGATTTATCGGTTTATGGGGAAAGAATCGGTCGATGCCGATTCCATAAAAAATTACAAATAAATGTATTAATTCATAAAATCAGTTAATTTAACGGAGTTGACAAAATAAAGAAAACAAATAATTGAATTAATTGGCTTGTTATGCAACATTACATACACATGTATGTACATACATATGTATGTGTACCAAGTAATTTTTAGCAAAAAAAAACCGACCAAAAAAGGAGGAGGTTATCAGTTCGTCGGAATATATATTTTTTCTTGTTTTTTTTTTGTATGTATGTTATCGCATAACTTTGGACCACGTCAACTGATTTTGATGATTCTTTTTGCATCGGAAAAAAAATATATTCCAACGAACTGATAACCTCCTCCTTTTTTGGAGGTTGGTTAAAAGTATGTATGTACTTATATCACATTTAAGTGCATTACATAAAACACTTTTTATATGGTGCTAAGCAAGATTTCTAAAAAAAAATGCTACAAGTTGTACTAAATGTAAGGTATCGAATGAAATGCAAAAAAAAAAATTACCAAGCAATTTACGAACGGAAGAAACCGAATTTCATTAAAACAAAATGTGATTAAAATATTCCACATTATACAGAATAATTTGTTTAGTTAAATATAACTTAAACGGTTTATGTTATTTATTTTAAATGAGTCAGTTTTTTCGTTTTTTATGTTTAATAAAATTTAAAAAACTTGATTTTTTTTTTAAACTCTCTTCGTTATAGAAAGTTACAGTTTTTGGCAGAAGATACCGTTTTTTCTGGAAACTTACAGTTAAAAAACTGGCAACACTGCTCTCGATAATTTTGGAACATCGATGGCATGAGGTTGATACCGAAGTTAGTACTTGCCATCGATACCAAAGTGTGGAATTTCGAACCCTGGCTTTGGGGAGTGAGAAGGGCAATTTGACATTGCGCACTGTATGAGATAAAGTCGTATAACGTAAAGCGAAAAACATTTTCAGTCGCATGTAACGCATATGTTTGGGAGGAATGAATAACGACGACGCCTATGACGTTGTTGCCATGATCGTACGGCAACCCAGCTGCATCTATATGTACCTATCCTGCGTCACCACCACCTTCACCCCTGAACCATCAACATCAGCGAGCCGCGCGCCGTCATATCGGTTGGTCTTGCTGCCGGCAAGACAGGTACGAGTACGCATGGCTGTCGAACTGGCTGTACAGGAACCAACCTGCATGGACCAAAAACTCTTCATAGTTGGTTATGTTCGCGGAGTTCATTCCGCTCTTTGGCTGCTTGACTGCTTGTTTGGGAACGTGCAAACTATATACATATATGTATGTATGTATGTATGTATGTATGTATGTATGTATATTCTACCTATCTATATGGTAAATAAGTAAGAATGCGCGCGTAAGAATCGCGCTATGAGCCTACAAATATACATTCTTACGTGTGTACCCAGAAGGACAGTCTCTGCAGGTTCGGTGCTTGATCGCTGCAAACAAGGACTGTCTTCTTCTTTCTTTATTCTGCTGTCACGGCTAACTTGAGCACAAATACTGACAGATTGGCAATTTTGAGCATGTCAGAAAGTTAAGTAAGTTTATGCACAAAAATATCCAACTGAGCACATGGGCATAAATATGTACGTACATAAGTATGTAGGTATGTACATATGTAAGTGGGCATAAAAACTGATACGCGTATGGACCCATCAAGTCGGTATATTTATTACGATCACGAGGAGGAAGCAACATTCAGTAAATTCCTTTACCAATGCCATTCGCAAATGGCACATTTTGGAATCGTAGTTTGTGTTCGCTTGCGAGTAGATTTTGAGAAGAATATTTAAGAAGTTTGGCAACGGTCGCATATACATAAGTACGTTTGTATGATATGTATGCTTATATACTTATTTTTCAAATATAATGTTTTATTTTATTCTCTTCTATTCTATTCTGTTCTATTCTATTCTATTCTATTCTATTCTATTCTATTCTATTCTATTCTATTCTATTCTATTCTATTCTATTCTATTCTATTCTATTCTATTCTATTCTATTCTATTCTATTCTATTCTATTCTATTCTATTCTATTCTATTCTATTCTATTCTATTCTATTCTATTCTATTCTATTCTATTCTATTCTATTCTATTCTATTCTATTCTATTCTATTCTATTCTATTCTATTCTATTCTATTCTATTCTATTCTATTCTATTCTATTCTATTCTATTCTATTCTATTCTATTCTATTCTATTCTATTCTATTCTATTCTATTCTATTCTATTCTATTCTATTCTATTCTATTCTATTCTATTCTATTCTATTCTATTCTATTCTATTCTATTCTATTCTATTCTATTCTATTCTATTCTATTCTATTCTATTCTATTCTATTCTATTCTATTCTATTCTATTCTATTCTATTCTATTCTATTCTATTCTATTCTATTCTATTCTATTCTATTCTATTCTATTCTATTCTATTCTATTCTATTCTATTCTATTCTATTCTATTCTATTCTATTCTATTCTATTCTATTCTATTCTATTCTATTCTATTCTATTCTATTCTATTCTATTCTATTCTATTCTATTCTATTCTATTCTATTCTATTCTATTCTATTCTATTCTATTCTATTCTATTCTATTCTATTCTATTCTATTCTATTCTATTCTATTCTATTCTATTCTATTCTATTCTATTCTATTCTATTCTATTCTATTCTATTCTATTCTATTCTATTCTATTCTATTCTATTCTATTCTATTCTATTCTATTCTATTCTATTCTATTCTATTCTATTCTATTCTATTCTATTCTATTCTATTCTATTCTATTCTATTCTATTCTATTCTATTCTATTCTATTCTATTCTATTCTATTCTATTCTATTCTATTCTATTCTATTCTATTCTATTCTATTCTATTCTATTCTATTCTATTCTATTCTATTCTATTCTATTCTATTCTATTCTATTCTATTCTATTCTATTCTATTCTATTCTTTTTTCATTCAAACCCTCAGTGGAACTCAGGCTCTAAAAATGAGGAATTCTTTCCTTGAATAACGGTCAGTGTGAAGAAAGACGATTACGAAAACGAACATGAACATGAAGTCGAACCCGAACCCGCAGACGAATGCGGAGGCGAAGAGTTAGGCGAACTCGAATTCGAATACGCAAATGGAAATGAAACTGAGTAACAAAACGACTACGAAAACAGATACCAGTACAACTACCATTGCAATTCCATTAACATTATCGCTATAATTACTGTTAAAATGATCATTACATTATTACCATTACCATTATCATGACCATTACCACTACCATTACCATTACCACTGTCATTACCATTATCATTACAATTAAGGGCACTTAATCTAATATTAAGTAATACATATTTCAGCAGTATAGGTTAGGTTGTGAACCGAAGTAGTTTGGCCCAGCATATTCATAAATAAAGGGCAACTCAACATCTATATCAAAGTATACAGTAAAAATAAGGTAGCCGCAAATACGCGATTCCATATCTACTGGATATCTGGTTGTACAAATATCGCAGGAAACGAAACAGTGGATGAGATTGCCAAAAGCTCAATTCAACGAGTAAACTACATACAGATACCGCTAAAAATCTAAAAATCTGTATAATGAAATAGACGAGGAGGCGAAAATTCAGGAAATTACATACAAGGGGGAACCAAACGAAAGGAGTAGAAACTTTATTTATGCCATCGAAAAGACTGCAGAGCCGTGAGTTTAAGCGAGGTATGCAATATGGCGCAGAGAAATGTGAACAAGGTAGACTCTGGAGCATATTTTGTGCCTATGACCTGCTTTATCAAGAACATGCTCAAAATATTTCAGAGCCCTATAATTTAAAAAGCTTGAGGAAGGGTCCGTATTCCAGCTTCAAACTCTTCTTAGGCTCGCTAAAAACGTTGCCAAAAGAAGTGCGGCCTACTTTAAAGATATTTAGAAAGCTGTCTCCATTTGGGAAATGATTTAAATACTACGTTTATCGCATTTCATAAAGAACATGATGATGCACCCTAATGTATATATATACATACATACATATATATACATACATAGATGGGCGTAGACAGGATGTAATGTAGGGGGTGCAAAATTTAATATACCTTAAACATTTTATTTTTATTTTTTGTTCAATAACACTGGATTACACATTTTAGTTTGGTTTTTGTTCTGCAGACGCCTTTATCCAATTTCTGTGTAGAATTGCTCGGTAATTCAGAAAATCGAGCTAATTTTTTTCTATGGATACGTTTTTGAGATATTTGCAAATTACCGTTATTCAGCTTAAAGCAAAAACTTGTTCCTTTTAATCACGTATATCTTACGAACCAATTTGAAAATCGTTATATAAAATACGGCGTATGAAAGCTAGCGAAATTCTCTATAAACTATTCATACACCACTTTCCAATAGGACTGATACTTTCTGGCAAATTAATTAATCATTCCAGTTTTTTTTTTTTTTTTAATGAAAAACCTGAAAAAAAACGTATCTTTAACAGAAGAAAAATTAAAATAACAACAGGTTCTGTGCCAAATTTTGCATTTGCACTAAAGCCTGTTCAGTTAGAAAAAAAAATCAAGTTACTGATGAAGAATATCGAGGGATAAATACGAAATAATGAGTAGTCAGAAACTATAAGCCCTATCGGAAAGTGATGTATACACGGTTTATGGTGAATTTCATTAGATTTCATTTGCCGTATCTTATATTAAGATATTTAAATTGCTTCGTAAAATATACGTGATTAAAAGGAACCAATTTTTGCTTTAAGCTGAATATCCATAGAAAGCAAAATTAACCCGATTTTGGGAATCACCGAGCAATTCTACATACGAATTGGATAGTGGCACCCATAGAACATGTTTGCTGTAAACCAGTGTAATTTTTATGTTCATAACAAACGCCAGCATACTTTTCAATTGTTTTCTTCTGAATCTTCTTGAGGTTTTTGTCAGTCCAGTACACGGTGGAGAGAATACAGGAGGTGGCGAAGATGGCAACATCGCTAATCGACTCTCAGTGAATTTGGCAGAATCAGCTGTTTTGCTGACGTCACAGTCGAGATGACAGGAGTAGTGTAGTGCTGAGTAAATACTTTTAAGTATTGATCGATATTCGGTACCGGTTTAAAGAGTATCCAATGCTCTCGATACTCGGTACCGAAACATTTAGGTTTCGAATAAAAGCGCACATAGACCAAAAATATGGGAAAAATGGTTCAGGGAAGACTCGCCTATCAAAACTCGAATGCAGGAGCCAATAGAGCTTTAAATACTGATTCAAATGAAAGATGTATAGATGTCGGTTCGAGGCCATAATGCAGAGAAACTCTTACTTGTTTGAAGCATTTTTGTTCCAGCTGAATCGGACGATATCATTTTTGTAGGCCTGGGGCATATTCTGTAACTAGTTAGCGACAATTTTCGAGTCGGTATCGGTTTTGTTGACGTATAATATGAAATAACTGGTTACATAATCTCCCAACAGAAAGGCTTCTTCATCCGTCAAAGCATTTTTCTTGAACCTTGGTTCGACTAAGGTTAAAACTGATAAAATAATATTTCTTTGTTGCGATAAGTTCAAGTGTTTTAGCCGATATCATATAAATTACGAATGAAAGTTTTTTCTCAACTTGAAATGCATATAATGGCGAAGTTTTAATATAAAGAATCAGTATCGGGTACCGAAAAGGAAGTATTGGGTACCGAAATCTTTTTTTAAGTATTGGGTGCGAGTATCGGGTACCGACGATTCAGCACATCACTGGACAGCAGCTTTATTTACTTCCTATTCTTGGTAAACATCTTTGTGTGTGTACAATGAGCAAGTAAAGAATTTCGTGAGTTTTATTAACTACTTTAATATTTCCGCCAATTTGTTTCAAATAATGAGGTGCGGAGTAAAAACTTGTGCTAGCGATAACTTGCACATTTTCCTAACCTAACTTAATACTTGTTTACAATTATTGGACATTTTGACCAGTGTTGCCAGAACTTTTTGGGCCGACCGGCTATATTGGCAAAAAAACGGCTAAAATGTTTCAAATAAAAAATACACATGTTTTATTGAAGGAAATAGCAAGTAGAAAGACTAGTAAAATCATAAAATTTTTTGGGGTTAATAAAGGATATACGTAGCTAAGCTTAACACCACTCGTTAAATAAATTACGAAAACCGAGACTTGGATATTCATTACATATTATTTTTGTTTAACAAAAAAAAAAAACAGGCCAACATTATTTCGAGAAAAGAAAACGCCATTAATTTATATCGAACAAGCCGGTCGCTTTTTAAGTTTTTAACAATTGAACTATCTAGTTGTATTTTGATGTCCATATATTCGAAACTCTTGTTTTTAATGTCCTACTCACTCTCTCACATGCTTGTCTGAGAGAAATAATAAGCAACAATAAAGTATGTTGGCACCATGATACAATTATTCACAGATATTGTCTTCCCAGAGAGTTTTGCTTCACATCGATATTCGTGCTCTATTATTCTCTCCATTATTTTCCAAGTGTTGCGATTTAAACTTCGTACTTAAATGTAAGCCATTCATAACCAAAATTGTATAAAGAAAGTCCCGGCTACGTCCTTCTTTGGAAAAAATACAGTGACCTAAATATAAAATGGGACGCGATATTTTGGCAAGGTTTTGGTATTTTTATTAAGTTTATTTAATGTTTATTATTTTTACTATAAAAATTTAGCTGATTACTCAACAACCAGACAACCAGACTTTGTGCAAAAATTATGAAAATTCTGCAAAATTTTACAAAAATTTTTAACTTTTTAATTGGCATCTTTACAAAATGGTATTTATGCAGTTTTGTAGGCCATTTTTCCAAAATTCAGTATAATATGGTAAAAATTTGAAGTATCTAGGACTAACCGTTGATTTTTGTATTTTATTTTTTATAACGGTGTTACGAATTTTTTCCATACAAAGTATGTTCTCAAATATTTTATATGCAAAAAAATGCGGAACACCGTCAACAAATTTCCAAAAATAAAAAAATTAAGAATTTTCATAATTTTTGCTTAAAATATGAAATTTGGATTTAAATGGTGTTTATAAGTAATCAGCTACACTTTCATAGAAGATTAATATGATATAAAATAAAAATCATTGAAATCGGCCCAGTATTTTAAGACTTTTCGGATTAGAAAATATTCTTTCAATTTTATATACTTAACACAGTCCGACATTAAAAATTTTCTCCGAAATAAGGCTAGCAGTTACGCCAAATTTGTCAAAATGGAAACTTATATGTACATATATTTGAATTTTAATAAAATACGGTAAATAGCGAAATCAGCTAATTTTTTTTTTGAAAACGGCTAACAAATCGGCTGCTAGATAAATTGAATTTTCTCGGCTGTTTGCTATTGCGACCGGCTAAATCCAGCCGGAAAACGACTAAACTGGCAACACTGACTTTTACAACTTATTCTCGCTGCTCTCAGTTGTCAACTCCACGATGACGTCACGCCAAAATTACTCTCACGAATTCTGCTGCAATCGGCGCAATCTTGTATTCATCATTCTTGAGTCCAGTAGAAAGTCTTTCCTCTGAATATTGTCGTTCTACTGGGTATGCAGTTACAGTTGCACCACTCTTGCGTATCCATTCGCGTACTCTGCGTAATGTGTGCACCCATGTGCGAGATGCAGTACCCAACTCTTGTGAAGCCTTGGTTAACGGAAGAAAGAGGCCTCTCTCTCTCATAAGCGCGAGTCTTTTGTCTTGGAGAAAGCAGTTCGCTGGCTATATAAATTAGTATCTTCAAAAACTCGCCCAGCAATGGGTTGTGCCCTGGGTAAGGTAAAAAGCAGAACCAATGGAAAACTCAAATCACCCCAAACTTTGACGACCCACCACATGAAAGAAGGGCTACACTTTACTTACATATATGTGTGCCTCTATCCAACTGCTGATTCGCTTAGAGAAATACCAGAATGACATCACCACAGTACAGGAAATGCAATGGACGAGGCATGATTGCAAAAAATTTTCAGCGTGCAACATCTATGTATGTGTTACAGCTGCCAAGGATCGGTGCACAACTTTTTTTTGGCATTTGTAGTTGGACGGAGGCCTCAACGGATTGTAACTAGGTTCACCCCCATCAGTGAACAAATAGCCACAATCCGCATGAAAGCTGGATATATTTGAAAGTTCGACGTCGCAAAGGACAGCCAGGAACTTTCGCAATCGATTCTGAATCCTGCTTAAACAAGAAAGTCCTCTCGACCGGAAATAAATAACCAGTGGAAATGGATCTCCCAATCTCTTCGTACCGCTACGGTTTTCTACTATCACCCACATAGGAACGGCGGGTATGCCGTGCAACTGCTGCAGAGAAAAACGCATTATTCCAAGCCATCCTGAAGCTAATTCGGAACCACGCGACAATTGAGAGGAACCGGGGAAAAGGGAGGAAAGATAAGATAAGAGAGATAATTTTTAAAAAGAAGAAGAGAGGAAAAAAGTCATGACTGTGAATAGCTTAAGATGCCGATAGGAAGGAACGCGGCGCGAAAATTTTATCAGAAATTAAATATAACGACACAGGTGGCGCGTTCGACGAAGTCGAACGCTGTGCTGGCTTCAATGTATCAACGGAGAAAAACACAGGCCTCCTGTGGAAATGGAGAGCATAGTTACTAACTCTACTCCGCACACAATTTTGTATTTGTATTTATGTATAATTAATTAATTTTTAATTCGACCTCGTCTTATAAGCTTCGGAGGGGCGCAGTTGCCCTTACCTGGTTACGCGTACCTGTATTTATGTGCATACATATACTATATTTGTACCTTCAACTTGCACGCTTCCATGGCAACCAAAAACGTCCAAAACAAGAATTTTTCATTTAATGACGGTTCCAAAATGTTTATATCGGCTGTCGGCTGTTTAGTTATTAAATGTACGGAAGCAAAGTGGATACATAACAAAAGTATCTTCGTCATAAAAAAACATACAAGCATACATTAAAAGCGGGTAGGCTCATCTGCACACACACGGTACAATAAATGTGTACATACAAATTATCTTGAACGATGCAACGACTCGTTAGGAATTCCAATCAAATTGCACGACCTTCGAATAAATAAAAGAAAATACAAATCCGCGGTTACCAACTGTGGCCGTTGAAGAAATTAACTCATATCCGGTGCTTAAAATTCCAACAGGCCAAATCAATAAAGCCTAAAGACAGTGGAGCCAATTGACTCTTTGAACAGAATATAGTTAATAAAGCAAAGGAGAAATAAGAGCGGTTCAAACAACAACACGTACTAGACAAACACCAAAAGGCACCAGTAAGAGGAGGTAGGCAAAAAGAAGCATAAAGCAGCGGTTGCGCGAGTGGAATTGGACTCGGCGAGGTAACAGAAAAAGAATAAGAAGCTGCTCACACAGACGGCAAGATGATGACAGCAGCTCCTTTGGCACCGTTGGCCTCCCTGGCACCGCTTCCCACAGCTCGCATGATGTTGGGTACCGCCAACAACACGAGCATGATGACTTCAGCTTCTGCAAATACCACGGCATCACCATTAATGCACCAGTCAAAGACGCAGTCGCCACCGCAGCAGCAGCAGCAGCAGCATCAGCAGCAGCAGCAGCAGCAGCATCAGCAGCAGCAGCTACAGCTGCAAGCACCAACGATGACAATGGCAGCACTCGAGTGGCAGTATTTCCAGGCAGTTTCGCTATTTCGACGGCGAAAATATGAAAAATGCGTTGAGGTGTGCAGTGGCATGTTGCACGCTGGCCACGAAACGAATGTGCAAATGTTTACCTCGCCGCCGAACGAGAATCACCATGCCGATGCAGATGCACAATACGGTAGGGGAGTTGGTGGCAACGGCAGCATGCAAAGCAACGCGCCCTCAAGGCAGGGACGAGGCTATAGTCAAAACTTTAAGAACAGCAACAACAACAACAACAATAATGCAAACAATAGCAATGCCAATGGTAATAACAATAAAGTGAGCATGCCCACGTGGATGATGGAGGGCGTTTGGCAATTAAAAATGCGCGCCCTTACCCAGCGCGTCTACATCGACGATCTCGAGACGGACGATGCCTTCGAGGGGGGTAAGTTTGTATGTTACTTGTGCAGGTATGTATGTAAATATGTATAGTTGAGCGTAATTGCACAGTAGCTACACTACATAATCAACACTGTTACTTAGTTGCATGAAATATTATGCATTGGAATGAAAATCGTTGTTAATTACTAACGCAGGGGCAGACACTAAAATATTTCTTTTAAAGCGCACAATTGTGTGTCGTTTCGATACTTCATGCTTATGTACAAATGAATGTACGTACGCAGTTACATACGTACATACATACATATATTTATGTACATATGCAGAGTTTACACAGGTATTACAAAACAGAATCTTGTTACAAAATGATGAACAGATTTTCAACTTGAAAAGGGAAAATCCTAAGATACTGATCTTTCAATGTGGTGCTTCAGAAAAGGCGTTTCATTATAGAGAGTATACCATAGGAGACTGGAGTATTCAACAACGTTACTGCGGAGGTATTGTTATACGTATTTGTTTCAATCGGAACGAGGGCTGCCATTCCTAATTGATCCGGAAATTTTCTAAATTCCTGCACAGTGGTGGCTGATCGGGACGCCCTCGAAAGGAGTGATTTCTGTTAGACAGAATTCTTTTCCAAGTGCATAACGGGGAACCAGAGCTAGCTGAATAAGCTGGCGGTGGGGAAGTCCTTATTTCTTGCAGATAATTATCTGAACTCTAGCTGCGAAATTTCTAAATAACAACTTTAGGCGACTTACGGAAGGCTTCAAGACCAGGGCGAACTCCTGTAAGAACAACCATGGTGACCTAGTGACCGATGTTCAGAACGTACTTAAATTATGGAGGGAACACATTTTCACCCTATTGAATGGTATCAGCAGTGAAAGTTGCCCGGAAGAAAACCCCGAGCCACCATCGATGATGACGGAGTCGATGTTCCACCGCCTGACGACGACGAGGTACGAATAGCGATTATCAAGCATAATGTGTGAAAGTTTGAAGCCCATTTGCACCCACGCCACTGTTGGCAGTGTTAACTTCAAGAAAGTACAGAATTTCGTTTACTTGGGAACCAGCAGTAACACTCTTGCTAACAAGTGCTACTTTGGACTGAGTAGGGAATTCAGAACAAATTGTTTCTCTCGACGAAAGAAAACCACGCTCTATAAGTCACTCATCATGCCCGTGTTGGTATATGGCGCAGAAGCATGGACAACATCCGATGAGGCGACTCTTAAAGAGTATTCAAGAGAAAGATTTAGCGGAAGATTTACGCGTTGGCGACGGCGAGTAATGCAGACGATGGAATGATGAGCTGTATGAGCTTTACGAACGACATGTACGTAGTGTAGCGAATTAAAATATAGCGGCTCCGTTGGCTTGGCCATGTCTTTCGAATGGACACCGAGGCCCCCACTGCGATGGACAGACCAAGTGCATAAGGACTTGGCTATACTTGGCATATCCAATTGGCGTCAGTTGGCACAAAATAAAAACGGCTGGCATGTTTTTTTGAACTCGGCCAATGTCACTTAGGCGGTTACAGAGCCAAATATGAAAACGTTACCTGTGGGCAGATCTGTATGGTCTTGATTGGACTATACACAGGACTGTCGATAGCCGGATCGGGCCCCAGGGAATAAGTCATCAGTGTGCCCTTTGAATTGAAATAATTTTTTTTAGTAAATACCCAGATTTTTTTTTCTGATGGTTTAGTCAGTATTAATTTTAAGGGTTTCGACAGAATATTTATTTCGCTAACTACGAATACATTAGAACAATAATGTATGCTAAATTATTACAGTTAAATATAATTTCATCATGTAAATTTAGCCAAATCCCGACCATACATAATCCCGACAAGACACAGTCCAGAAAAGAAATCCCGACCAAAAATCCCGACAAAATATAAAAATAATTAAAAAATCGCGTGATTTTTAATTATTTTTATATTTTGTCGGAATTTTTGTCACGATTGCCTTCTGTTTTCACTCAAAAACAATGTATAAATACACAGTATTTGTTATTGTTGTAAGGGCTTACTTAGCCCGTAATTGTCTGCAGGCCCAACTGACGGTAGGCCCAGGATATTTGATATTTCGATGAGGTAGAACCAGAGGGAGAGGGGGGATGTTAGTTGAGTTCGATTGGGTGAGCATGTGAAGAGGTGGTTGGTGTCAAGGGGGGAATCTCCACATGCTGGACACTCATTTTCGATGTTGGGAGGCGAGTTGAGCCAGAGTTACGCGTTGTATGTTCGCAACGCCATTTCTTTGTCTTGGCTAAGTACTGCCGAATGGAGGACTACGGCTCTGTACTTTGTTTGCAATTTCGGTTGTATGCGCCGGAAACGAGAGCTAGATGAGACAATCCTTGTAGTGAGGAAGCGAAAAAATGTGGAGTGGTAACCGTTTATATTTAAGCATAAGTCATTAATTTCATTTCCGGACGCATTGTAATTTTTTTTTGTCTGGATTCTGTCTTGTCGGGATTTTGTCACCACGCCAAACATTTAAAGGACTACGATTTGAGGGCATGCACCTGGAATGTCCGGAACCTTAATGGGGAAGTTGCCTCTGCCTGGCTGGTTGATGTCCTCGTAAGGACAAAAGCTGACATCATCGCCATTCAAGAAATGAGTTGGACGGGGCAAGGCAAGCAATGTCCGGGGCCTTGAGATATCCACTTTAGCTGCCATGTTAAGGAACGCAAATTCGCTGTTGGTTTTGTAGTGGGAGAGAGACTCCATCGCCAAGTACTGTCGTTCACCCCGGTGGACGAGCGTCTAGCCACAATCATCAAAGCGAGATTCTCCAACATTTCGCTCATCTGCGCCCATGCCCCCAAGGAAGAAAACGATGAGGCATCCAAGGATCGCTTCTATAAGCGCTTGGAGCGCACGTACGAGCGCTGACCCCGCCATGGTATCAAAATCGTGCTTGCCGACTTCAATGCCAGGTTGGGCAAGGAAGGGATCTGTGGAACCACCGTCGGAGAATTTAGTCTCCACGACGAAACATCTGACAACGGACTGAGGCTGATCGACTTCACCGGGACCCGAAACATGGTAGTATTCAGTACTAGGCTCAAGCATAAAAAGATCCATCAAGCTACGCGGCTGTCTCCAGATCGAAAAACGAGAAACCAAATCGATCATGTTGTGATAGACGGAAGGCGCGCTCCGAGTATTTTAGACTCACGTACACCCCGAGGCCCAAACATCAGCTCGGACCACTATCTTGTTGCAGCCACGATACGCACCCGCCTCTGTGCAGCAAAAAATATGCGCCCAAATATGCAAGGAAAGTTTAACGTCAAAAAGCTCCAATCACAACTGACAGCCAATGCATCCGCTACTCGACTCTCACACCAGCTCTGGAAGGAAAGACCGTTCGCGTACGGTTCCATCCTAGACGCAATACCGTCTGAAATTAAAGTGATGCCCATTGATTATATCCCCCTGCAGAGCCCCCCCGATTATAACCCCGCACGAAATTCCCAAGCCACAGTGACTGGAACCAGGAAGATTTCGGGTACTTGCAGGGCTTAACTGTCTTTACGGATGGGTCAAAGATGCAATGCGGGGTTGGTGCTGGGGTCTTCATTGAGCAATATAACCTAAAATTATCCTTCCGCCTACAGGACTATGCAAGCGTTTTCCAGGCAGAAACGTTTGCTATTAAGGAGGCAGTAAGGTACATCAAAGACAATGTACCCGCGAGAACGCAAATGAACATACTCTCGGATAGCCAAACGGCTATTCAGGCACTTTCCTCTAACTCTGTTAGATCTCAGCTAGTGGATTAATGTAGGAGAGAGCTGGCCTATATTTCTGATCAATACGAAATTACCCTAATATGGGTCCCGGACATAGGGGCATCTACGGAAACGAGGCAGCGGACGAACTAGCAAGGAGCGGCTCCGCACTGGATGTGTCCCACGCGGTGGACATGGGCGCCTCGCTCAGGGAGATTAAGACAAAAATTTCCGCAATTTATCATTCAACGGCCAGGCAGAGGTGGCTCTGCACAGGATCCTATAGAATTTCCTGGCAGTTCTGGGTGTCCTACGACCCACTCAAAACCAAAGCTCTCTTAGGAATGAGCAAAACAAATGCCTACAAACTTACTGCAGTGTGCACAGGGCACTGGCCCGTTGGGGTACATGCCGAAAGGATAGGACTGCCCTTCAGTAGGCTCTGTCGCAGCTGCGATGACCCGGGCTCAAAAGACAGTCGAACACTTGCTGTGCGAGTGTCCAGCCTCGCAACCAACCTCACACCAGCAGAGAGAACTCTTCAACCAACCGACATATGCGCGCAGAGGAACCACATTTCCCGCTCATTAAGTTCCCCGCCGAATAAGTAGTGGGATTTCAGCGAGCCCGAAAGAACAAGTGGTAAGATGAGGAGTGTCAGGAAGCTGCAGAGAAAAAATATGCCGCCTACAGAGCTATTTTTAGCTAATTTAAAATTAAATAAAGTTAGGGAACTCCTATTCTTCTTAAACGGAATTGCTATATCTATAAATTATTTTATACTTTTTAGTTCTTGTTGTAATAAAAGCGTGTGTTTAGTTTTTTAACTATAATTTTATTATATATAAGATGTTTGTATGTAGTGGTTCTTCGAAGTACTTGAATGGGTATGATCAAGAGCGTCAATGTAACTAGCACAGCGGTCGTTTGGCCACAGCAACCTACGCTTCTCTAATTTCAATAAAAGTCCATAAATTGTAATAGAACAAGAGGAGGTTTGAAAGAAGGGGCTAGAGCCCAGGTGCCACATCTTCAATTTCTTAACAGAGAGATCTAAAATGGCTGAGGGAGTGGGAGATTCTGTTCGAAGCTAGAGATCGAGCAGTCATACAATTTCCCAGACCACTGCCGTGTTTCCAAGCCGATAACTCTTCTTATTTGTATCTACAAAAATTATTCGGTTTGGCCCGAGACCAAATATCCACCAAATACTTATGCCAAATGTTGACAGTTTCTTCTGAGCTTTATCCTTCCATTGTGTTCTTGTATCCACCGGTGACGATTTTCACCAGAAAATCATCTAACTTAAGAATCAGTTAGAGCTGGCATAACCATAACGGCGTAGCTATAACTTTGTCAAATACATCACAGCTGCTTATGGTTATGCCGAAACACGAAAACTCAATAGATGCAGGTCCAGAAAATATGTTCGTTGGTATGTAAGTTTACTCAATTTACAAGGCTACATATGTACATGCGTATGTATGTGTGTAATTTATTTTTCAAAATAGTCGTGATCCCTTTCGATGCACGGCAGTAGGACAGCTGTTCGAAGGCCGCGGGCTTAAAACTTAAACAACTCCTATGCAGATGACTGAAGCTTACAATTGCTTAGACTATTGCCCTTATTCATATAAAAATAACTTTAATTCGGATTCATAGTTTAAATTCAAAACTTTTCTTTTCCTAGAGGGAGAAACACAAAACAACCACATGGAAGAAAAAATCATTATCAGAACGCTGAATCTGCCTTTGAACAGCTTTATTAAGTGACCTTTTCATAAAAATTTTCGATTTATAAGGCAGTTGAAGTCTTCTTTATTTTTTATTAATTTGGGTGTGCAGTTTGTCGCAAATCTATCAATATTTATAGATTTTTTGGTAGGTACATATTTTCAAGTCGATCCGTATTTGAGGCAAAAAATATTCTGTTTATTCATGTTCCAATCCATCCTTACCTATGTATGTACATATATATGTTTGTAAAACACTTTTAAGCCATCTACAGAAAAGCTAAAAATTCCGCGCTTGAGTGGCTTAACGGATTTTGGCTGCACTGTAATATTTCAGCTGCATTCCATTGGCACAACATGCCACGTCGGCTGCGCAGCCGCACACCAACTTCATCCAGCTTCAGCTCAATGCCCAAATACTCATGCCACACTTCTCGCATTCCATTGTGTTCAATCACCCTGAATTTTTATTTTCATCTTGTTACTCATTACTTGTTTCATATACAATTTAGTATGCTTTGCCTTTTCGTTTTTGTTGTTATGACCGTGCTTGCTTTTTTGTTGTACTGCATTTTGGTTATTGCACGTTGCATGACCTGATGCCGCCCCTAGCTTGGCTGCATGTGTACCAGCTTGTGTATTATGTTACATTCGCCTAAGTGCGGGTATGAGTTCTTCTTCTTTCTCTTCTTCTTGTTTGTTATTTCGATCTCTTATAGTTTTTTGGCTTAAACATTGTATTTGCTATCTTGCTTTCATGCATCCTCTGCGTTGGGCCATACGCGATACATACATACATCTGTACGAATATAGAGAATGAGGAAGTGGAGTTAAAGCGAATCGCCACAGCCGCCAGACCAGGTACCTCAATTAAAACCGCGTTTATACCACGGCCAAGTACGAGCACGCTGCGCGACAGCTCAAAAACATCTGCAACAATACGAAGTAATCTGCCATTGAGCCAAGGTAGCCGCACAGCGACTGCGCAAAGCAACAATAGCATCAGACCTAAGTCGAGCATGGTAAGCAAAACAACAAAACAGCATTCGATTTGGGTGTTTTAAGGGATAGTATTTGTTTTCGATAGGTACGTCCCGGTACAGCCACGTCCCGGCCAGGCTCCTCTGTCGCCAGCCGACCGGCATCAAGATGTGGCACCGCTTCACGCATTCGCGCTACATCCGCTGCTGCCTACACTGTTGGCGATGTCACCGCCAAACTCTATCAGGCATCGCGTCTAAATCCCACTATATATGCTGAACGCGAGGCGCTTATAAAGGCGCTTTTTCAATTTATCTACTATCACGAGTCCGATGTGCAAAAAGCGTATTCTCTGTGCGAGGCAGTCATGGAAGTCCATAAGCAAAAGCGCACCTCGGGTTCGGGTCGTTCTGGCGCGCCTGTCGATTGGTGGTGGGATCAGCAAATAGGCAGATGTTTGCTGGTAATGCGCTTACCACGAAAGGCCGAGACCTATCTGGTTCAATCGTTGGCGGCTTTCCCACATCCTGACACCTTTTTGTTGCTTTCTCGTTTGTACCAGCGTCTGAGTGAGCCTAATCGCGCGCTGGAGCTCATTGGTATGGCTGTCGACCGGCATCCTTTCAACGTAACTTTTCGCATAGAACAGGGCCGAATATTCGATGCTATGTCTAAGCAGGATGATGCTATGCAAATATATCGTCTCATTACCAAGCTCAATCCGATTAATGTGGAGGCGTTGGCTTCTATTGCATTGAACCATTTTTATGATGGAAATCCCGAGATGGCTCTTATGTATTATCGGTAAGCGTTGAAATATAACAAATGTATGTAAGTATGTATGCATATGAAAATGTACATGTATGTATGTATTTTTTTTATATATTCTACCAGACGGATCCTTTCTTTGGGAATTCACTCAGCAGAGCTCTATTGCAATATTGCTTTATGTTGTTTGTATGGCGGACAAATCGATCTGGTGCTACCTTGCTTTCAACGGGCACTTCTGCTTTCCAAAACGTCCGATCAAAAAACAGATATCTGGTATAATTTAAGCTTTGTGGCGTTGGTACGTACAAACAGTACTAAGGTTTCTACGACACATAGTATACACATACACATGTACATAAGTACATACACACAATGCCGAAAACTATCTGTTATTAAATTTACACAATACACATTGTGGCGAACGTGCGAAAATGACCTCTGATATCCAATATGAATATCAATCTGAGAACGAACTCATAACCAACCTTAGTTTTCTAACGTTCATAGTATATTGGAAATACTCTCGAAATGCGTTCAAAGAATGAGAACCGTAAAAAACAAGGGAGAAAGTGAAGTCCAGCGCATTGTCCAGCTCATGCTCGAAATATATTATTATTGTTTCCAAACCAAATTTGACGAGGGATAACGGAAATTCGTTGCAACATACATCACAATCGCTCTCTCTCATTAAAATTTCAACTCGATAATGGGCTGGATTTCGAATTCATAACAAACTGAAAATATATTGGATAACGAAGATTCCGTTTTGCTGGAGAATGGCCTGGTTCTCGAATCGAATACTAACCTATTTCCCATTCATTATCGAAGTTGAAACTTGAAAAAAAAAATATGCGTTTTCCAATCATTTTCGAATTTTTAACCAATCCCACTCGGAGGTTTGCCTTTAGCGAACCGCTATTAGAAACAAGGAATAAAACCGATTCAAGATAACGTTCCAGTTTCGGTTTCGGTTTTGCCAAGTGTTTCGGTTTCGGCTTTGGTTTCATTCTTCAAAATTTGTTTCGGTTTCGGTTTCGGTTTTGGAATAAAAAAATGAAAAGAAGTTATTAAAAGAAATTATTTATTAAATAAATATGTACCTTCCAAGGTTTGTTTTTGGCGAAATTAAACATTGTGATCAATTTTTTTTTATATAATAAAAAACACCTCTGAATCAATTATATAAACTAATGCTTAGATCTAACTGCAGAAATTTGTTTATTATTATATTTATTATATAATGAGGGTTGTTGCTGATAGGTACAGTTCACTGATGATATTAACACTAGGTTTTTTCCCTAATAATCCGGACCGGAACCGGGTATCAGAGAATAAGAGAAAAATTTCATTTCCAACAAAGTCCACAAGTTTGGGAACGCAAAAACCACATTTCGTGCCCAGAATTTGAGAAACTGCTGATTCACGTTGTTTTCACTTAAATGCAAACACTTGGGAATTGATTTTTTTCACAAATTTGATTTTAAGTATATAAAGTTTGAAAATACATCAACAGGCCATTCATTATTCCTTTAAAACACCAAGCAAATGCAGCCAACTTATAAACACAAAACAGCTGATATGCACTTTGACACTTTATCCATATTTACCCGGAGAAAAAGTCAGGCAGGAAGAAGAAGACACAATGCAATAATTTCCAGTTCTCGCTCTCTATTACCCATTTTGTTGAGTACGGGAATGATTTCTGGGCTGTTTTGGGCACCCGCGGGATCCCGCGTTGCATACGTGAAAGAAACTACTAAGATAAAATTAATCGATTATCGATTCACAACAACAAAGTCATCCCCGGATACACAGCAACAACGTCATCACCAGATTCACTTAAATGTGTCCTTTTTGCTGTAAAATTGAAGATGAATGAAAACTAAAAATGTAATTGATATTTTCGTTAAATATTTACTAAATAATTATGAGACCCCTTTATTTCTGTGCTCTTTACAACTACCCTGCAGGGAAACCGTGGACTGGTGCATAAAATTTCTAGTTCCGTACAAGAACTTTATCGCCAAAAACGAACCAGTCCGATAGTAAGTAGATCCCCACCAGTTCAAAATCAGCGAAATGTGGGATTCATAAAAAAAATATTTTATTTCTCGTTTTTCATTAGAAATCTATATCTAAAGTGACGAATTTAGAACTGGTTCGGAATTATAGAAAAAGGGACGCAGAACGAACTAGATCTTATGTGTCGAATTTAGAACTAATTCGAAACTATCGAAAAAGGGATGCAGCCGGGGGCTTGTTTACTTTACATAGATATGTGTTTGGCGGCTTTTTCATTCAAATGCACTTTCATTTTGCACTTCGCAGATGCTATTTCATAGTTTGGTAATAGAAAACAAAACTTTGTGTTAACATATTAACATCTTGGGGCCGCCTGGAATCTAACCAATAACAGCGAGCACCTCTGGAAAGTCCGCTACAGACAAAGGTATGTAAACGTACATTTCTTACAATCATTCAAACAAATTTACCCTGTGGGGAAAATCTCTAGTTCTGAACTGGTGCGCTTCTAGTACATTTAGACCCAGTACTGGTTCGCGATAAATCTCTTTTGCATGCAAACAACTGGCGAATTTAACATGGCGATGTCCTAGGAAGTGTCAATTGCCCCCCGCTGCATCCATTTTCGATAGTTCCGAACTAGTCCTAAATTTTATAGTTCCGAACCAGTTCTAAAATCGATAGACGAAAGAAAAAAGTATCATGATTTTTCAATCTTTTTGGTTCTTCCGTGTGTGCGATGTTAAGTTATATTGAAAGAAATGTGCTTTTAATTTGAAATTAAATATGTTTGAATGATTGTAAGAAATGTACGTTTACATACCTTTAACTGTAGCTGAGTTTGCAGAGGTGCTCGCTGTTAGATTCCAGACGGTCCCAAGATGTTGAAATGTTAACACAAATTTTGGTTTTGTATTACCAAGCTATGAAAAAGCATCTGCGAAGTGCAGAATAGAAGCGTATTTGAACGAAAAAGCCCCCGAACACATATCTATGTAAAGTAAACAAGCCCCCCGCTGCATCCCTTATTCGATAGTTCCGAACTAGTTCTAAATTCGACAAATAAGATCTAGTTCGTTCTGCATCCCTTTTTCTATAGTTCCGAACCATTTCTAAATTCGTCACTTTAGATATCGATTTCTAGTGAAAAAAAAACTGAATAAAAATTAGTTTTTTAAAAGTACCACTTTACGCCGATTTTGTACTGGTGGGGACCTAGTTCCATCGGACTAGTTCCTTTTTGACGACAAAGACCTAGTACGGAACTAGAAATTTGATTCACTAGTCCGCGGTTTCCCTGCAGGGTAATTTCAAATCGAAAAAACGTTTCTTTGAAAATAGAAGAACCGAAAGATTTAAAAATCATGATACTTTTTTCCTTCGTCTGGCGATTTTAAAACTGGTTCGGAACTATAGAATTTAGAACTAGTTCGGAACTATCGAAAAAGGGATGCAGCGGGGGCAATTGACACTTCCTAGGACATCGCCATGTTAAATTCGCCAGTTGTTTGCATGCAAAAGAGATTTATCGCGAACCAGTACTGGTTCTAAACGTACTACAGGCGCACCAGTTCAGAACTAGAGATTTTCCCCACAGGGTATACATGTGAAAATTAAAATCTAAATGACTTGTTCACCTTTTTATTAGCTTTTTGCGAAAAGGTAGCTTGCCGTCCTTATTTACTTCTTAACAGGAATTTTGGCAAAATATTGTTGATTTTGGTTAAATAAATCATTTATTTCTAAAAAATTTTTATTTATTATTTTATAAATTTCTGGAAACCGATTGAACTTGTGATTGAACCTGACAAAGCTTCACAGGGCAGAGAATGTGCCTTTTTGCCTCACAGGAGTGTGACATTTTAGGAAACGAACATCAAATTTTCTCACCCTTTGCAGTGATGGTACATACTTTTTTGGAAAATACCCACTCAACAAAAATAACATCCCCACTTTTCCCTACCCGTTAAAAAATGTTTCCCCACAAAATTCCCTACAATTTGTATCTAATAATTCCTTATAAAATTAAACACGGAAGGTTCAATGTTTAGAAAATTTATTATAATATTGTGTTGATGTGTAATAGAGGTCTACGCCAATAGATATCAGTGGCGGACCCAGGTAGGGGAAATTGGGGAAATTTGAAATTATGTACTTAATTTTGAATTTTTAGTTTTTTGTTATATTTTCGAATTCGTATTATTTTACACAGTTGAAAGTCACAGCAAGTTTGAATATTTTCACAGGTTCAGAAAACAACGAAAATTCCAAAATTTTGAATTTTATAATATTATTAAATTTCTTGAGATTTCTTATTTTTAGGATAATTTCCAAAATTTCAAAAACTATCGAAATCCGAGAGATTCTAGAAATTTTGGTAAAATGAGAATATTTTGAAATGTACAAAATTATTGAGATTTTAGAAATTCTTATATTTCCCAAAATGTTTAGAATTTTATTTATCCTAAAATCCATCCTTAAATGTAAAAATGCGAAATATCACAAATTGTAGAAAAATTCTAATGTTCCTGTACTCGTGTGTAAAAAATAGAAAATTCTTAGAATTCTAAAAGATATTAACATTTTTGAAAAATTCCAAAATTGTTCCACTTTTCTGAACTTTTCCATAACTTTGTATTGATATAACCAAGCTTGGGAATTTTAAAATTTTTTAAAATTTTGAAAACATCAACTTCCAAAAATTTTTTAAACTTAAAGCAATACGAAAATTTTTAAAATTTTTAAAAACGACGAAATATGAAAATGTTTTCAACATTCGAAAACTTTTAATTTCGTTTGATCAATTTTGTATATGGGCATTCCCATGGTGGCGCACGTGACAGTCGTACGATTTCAATATGATACAAAAAAGGAATACCATTTTTTTCTTTAACTTTTTTGGGCCATTGTATAGCACATAATTAGCTCTATATTTAACCGAAAAATGAAATCAATCGAACTGCTTGGTCCTGAAATATAAGCATTTAAAGAGAGTGTCGTTACGTGACAAAAAATGGAAGTTGATTTTTTCTTTTCTTACAAAATCGCAAAACTCTGCGAATTGTGGATGGCTATTTTCATGAAACTTATTTTAATATGATTTGGAGCAATTCTAGTTGTTTTTAGAGTTTTTTGAATTAATGCAAATTGTTTCAATTCTCTTTTACAACCCCAAGTGTGAAACGTGACGTGACGTGGCGTCACGTGACATAAATTTCCATCGTTATATTTTTGTTAATATTGCTTTTAAATGAATTTTCAACGCAAATAAAACAT